GAATTCGAGTGAGAGTCAATTTACATTTCTGTTTCAACACCAAAGTTGAGAGATGCAGCAACTAGAACAGTTCTAGAAAAACACTCACTACTCGCGGAGTGCACTAACTCTACTCGGCGAGTACATACAATTTTACATGATCTGGTTTTGCATAAAGTCCTACTCGCCGAGTCCACGAGCTTACTAGCCGAGTAGCCTGCTACTTGTAGAGTTTCAGAATTGCTTTGACCATTTTCAATGCAACATTCATACACTCTTTATGAAGGATTACTACTGGAGATTTTCTAACGACCTTGTTCCGTGGAATTTTCGAGCTATCAACCACACGAGACGTATGACACCCGTGCCATGGATGAGCTGTTCCCATGGCTCAAGTCAATATAAGAAGGAGCTGAAGAGGAGAGTGTCAACCTAGCGACTGCTACCCCTGGGGAGTTTGTTCCAATTCTCCCTATATTTGCATTTTTATTTTGTATAATATGCAACGAGGGCATTGCATAAAATAAGTGTGGGGTAGGGGGTTAGTCACATATTAGAAAACATAGAATCTTAATTTAGGCTAATTTTAAAAATTGTTGCATACCAAAAAACACGCTTAGGATTTAATTTAGGAAATTTTGGTAAAAGAAAATTAGGATTCCATGTTAGAATTGTGTTGATAATTGCATGAAAACCCAAATGTTTAGTTGAGCCTATATACGTTCTAGTGCATTTGTGGCTTCCTTATTTTAGTGAAATCATGAGACAAAAACACGACCTTGCTCAGCCTGAAGGATGCAATATGTTTAGCAGCCTAAACCTAAAATGTATCCAGGAAAATTTTTATCGTTAGCCAATAAAGGTTGAGATTGAGCGCCCCTGCTTAAGCATGTAGGGAATTGAGTGAAAAAAGTGAGGAATACATGTAAAAAAAAAAGAGAGAGAGAATTACTAGAAAAGTTGTAAGAATTTTGGAGCAAATGAAGTGAAGATCTAAAGATCAAAATTCCAAGAAATCCAAAAAGTTGAAGATACCAAAAATCAATCAATACAAGGTGGTGAATTCAAAGATATCAAAGATCAAATTATCAAGGAAGTGAAGAATTCAAAGAGCTCCATAGTGGTATCGAAAAGTTGTAATTCTAGAATATGTATGCTTGGGTTGCTCAAATAAAAATACCTTGAGGGTAAAGAGGTTTTCTGAGGATGGATTCGGAGGGTTGCATAAAATGAGCATAGTTCGGGGTGAGTGGGCGAATGTTTATGAGGATTGTGAGTATTTGAAGTATGGGGGGGTTTTAGGGAATTTTAGACACAAATGCATGCGTTGCGGTCTTGGCATAATGGTTGGGTTAGATTGGAGTTATTATATGTGATTCTAATATGTTTAAAATTTAGTTTTGCTTGGGGGCAAGCAAAAGTCAAGTGTGGGGTATTTTGATATGTGCATAATTAGTTAATTATTTAGCATATATTCTTAGTCATTTTTAATAAATTATGTGAATAATGTGGACAAAAGGTACTTAAAATGTTTTGAATTTTGTTTTCAGTCCAGAAGATATGCTTGGAAGTAAAAGGGAGCAAGGGGAAGCAATTGAAGACCAAAGAGTGAAAATAAGAGACAAAAGACCATCTACTCGGCGAGTAGACGACTCTACTCGGCAAGTACACGAGGATGTTCCAGAAGATAGCTACGATTCATGATTCAAGACGGATAACTATGCACCTACTCGGCGAGTTGGTCCTGCTACTCGTCGAGTACACCCTGTTTTGGGATATCTATAAAAGCCGAATCCTTATCTAATGGGACAACATTCCTGGCGATTTTTGAAGGTTAAGCTGCGACTAAGAGCCCTAAAAGACGCTAAGGAACCCTAAGCTTCAATCTTTTGAAGAATTCAAGCAATTAGGTTAATTCTACCACTAAGATTTAGGAATTGAATATGTTTGCTTTAGTAAACCTTGTTTTTACGTTTGTTTCTACTGCAATTATGAACTAAATTCGTTTTTGTTTTGTTTGGGGAATACCAAGGAACTCCTATGGTTTAATTACTAGTTTTTGTTTGATTGTTTATTGGTGATATATTAAATTAAGTTTGTTAAAGAACCTTATGTATTAATCACTACTATTTTCTGTTAATTGGAAGGCAATTAGGTTGCATGAACATCTCTTAGTTGTTAACCTCATATGTCTATGTGAACACTAAACCATATGCTTAGAAGTAATGATTATGAAACTAAGATTAATAAGACAATAGGAAGATTAATGTGTGAGCTTTTTTGAGAAACCATCAAACAAGAGGTTTAACTTAATTGACCATTACAAATCTTATTTAATCCAAATCATTAATCTAGGGAATTAATTAGTTTAAACACTTGATCACCGCTTAAATTAGTTAATTGTCTAAGGGTTAGGAGTAATGAACATGAACATAACCATTATAATTGGTAACCAATAGCAATTAATCTACCATAAATATAAATAACCATAGGAGTGAATTGGTTGAACCTAAATAGAAACATCTTTATCAAATTTGGTGAATAGTTGTTGTTTTAGTTAATTAGTTAATTTAGTGTGCCTAAGTTTCTAGTCTTGCAAAACTAGAGAAAACCCTTTACTTTTATTAGTTGTTTTAGTTAAAATTAGTTATTAGTTTAATTTTCCATTCCCTGAGTTCGACACCTTACTTACTAATCTATACCACTAAAACACAGGTTCACTGTCTTTGTGTGTTCAATTTATTAATTAAAAGTAGGGATAAAACAAGTGCATTTTACACACATCAGGGTCCCACCGAGTTATAAGACCGGAGAGTCTTCACTGAGATACAGGACTGGAGGGTCCAACCCGAGCTGTGAGACCGGAGGGTCTTCACTGAGACACATGACCGGAGGGTCTTCACTGTGACACATGACCGGAGGGTCCTTATCGAGTTATAGCCATGAGATGCTAATTATTTGTGTGTGGTATTTTGGGAAACTCACTAAGCTTCGTGCTTACCGTGTTGAGTTAAATGTGTTTTAGGTACTTCTGTGGATCGCGAGAAGGCACCGGCATGATTGTACACACCAGCTGGATGACTTGTGTTTGAGGATTCTGGGATACTTGACAAACTATTTCTATGTTTTGAGTTTTGAAATATTGTAAATTGAATATGAGAGATGTTAAACCGTGTTTCGTGTGGAAATAAAAACGAAAATTTTTGTTTGAATATTTGGAGTGTTACACTTAGCACACCCTAAAACCTCTGAAAGGACAACTCAAATGTCTTGGAGTATCTCTTACTCATAAAGACCAAGTTTGGAACAAAAATGTTACAACTTTGAGCTAAAACTAGATCCATAAGAAACATACCCCCAAGATTGAAGCTTTTTTACCTCCACAAGATGCACAATGAAGAGAAAATATTGGATCCAGATTCTTAAGAGCAAAGCCACTTCCTTGATGTTCTTCCTTCACAACCAAGAAAGCCCACATATTACTCAGAAAGCTCAAAATGCTCAAATAGATTAGGGTTTGCAACGAGGGTCGAATTTAGGATGGAGGCTGATAAGGAGGGAGGGTTTTCGGAATATAATGGTGCTTATATAGTGCACAAACCCTAAATATTAGGGTTGAGTCCAAGTTGCGTACACTCTGCGTACCAATGTGTACGCCCAACGTACATGCACGGGGGCCAAGTACACCCAATGTACCAATGTGTACACGTAGCGTACTCATGTTGCACCCATTATTACGAGAATGCCATTGAGGACCAATCTTGTAACAAATCAAGGGTCAAAAGTGAATACATGGAAATTAGATGTTACAAATCAAGAATTTAATATGTTTGACGCCATTTATTGGTGATGTCTTCACCACGACAAGGTGGCCTAATGAACACACGATCTTCTCATTTCTGCGTTGTGACGATTTTTCTCACAGCATCCAACTTTGACCACGGCGCCAGAGGACTCATACACGTCGTGGGGGCAAAGTACATTGTCTTTCTCTTAAGACGAAGAATTACGTCTGAATAGCTTTTAACCCTCACCACGTCGTGATGGTTGAAGATCAGCAATCCCATGGTTGATTTCATTCCAGCTTTGGGACAAAATTTTCCCAACTTTTAGGGTGCATAATTTCTTTGTTTCTAACTCGTTTTCTATGTTCTTTATATTCATGCGGAGGTGGGAATATAATCTACAATTCTATTAAGTCACTTCTCACTGACTTAATACGAATCGTAATCTATTAAGTCACAAAGTTAACTCAAAAAAACATAAAAATACTCATTTTACCGTTTTTCCCAAATACATCTTCTCATGCGCTATTTTTTTCTTGAACTTACTCATCTATCCTCCTATTACGGACTTAAACTACCTTTGATCATTTTCACAACATCACAACTTCATATTCTCATTAAATTCTCTTTCATGACTAAATTTCCATTTGATCGATATTTGACTAAAAAGTCAACTCTCAATAAATTTTGAATTCTTACATTTGCTATGTTGTTATGGATTTACGACGGATTAGCAACAAATTTACAAAACCAAATCATTCAAAACCGGCATTAAATGGTCGCACTCCCGACACGTTAAAGGACCCGAATCATTCAAAACCGGCATTCAGGTTTAAATGATCCATTCGTTCATAGCCTTCGAATCATTCAAATATTTGAATGGTATCCAAATCATTCAGATCTAAACGATTATTTGAATTGTTTCTCAACGATTATTTGAATCATTCATATATATCTTGAATTATTCTTGTCTAATTATTTAGAGGTCGCCAGAAAAAGCTCAAGAAATATAGCAATCGAGAATAAATAACAAGTACATAATTAGATTACAGTACTGTACAGTACTCCTTTTTAAAGATCTTTTAGGTCACAGAAACTGCAGTTTAAACGTACGTTTACTGCACTTTCAACGTCATTCTGATCCAATACTACGGTTTGTGTATTACACCATGAATTATAAATGAACGGCAAAGACTAAAATCACCATTAACGCGATCACCACTGGGGCATGCACAATTACATACAACTAGTTCTAGCTTTTTTGTTGAAACCACCACCAAGATTCAAATCAAGCTCCAAGTTCACGTTTTTGCTTTGGTCATTAGCAGTTCCTAGAATTATTTTCATCGGAGATGCATTGCTGAACAGTTGATCAACCGATGTGACTACATGGCATTTAGTATTACTGGTACTAGTGATGCCATGGTTCTTTTTGCCTTCCACCGTCGCCGACGGTGTACTCGGCGGAAACACCGACGGTATCTCGAAGTTGGTCCTGGCTTTGGCTCCTCTCAGTCGTCTTGCAGCGGCGTCGTACGCACGTGCTGCTTCTTCTGCGGTGTCAAACGTTCCTAACCAGTGTCTGCATCGTCCGATTTTGTCACGTATTTCCGCCGACCACCGACCCCATGGCCGCTTCCTCACCCCTCTGTAACTCTTCTCTTCACCACTAACGTTTTTCTCTGACAATAATGGTTTTGATTCTTTTTCTTCGTCCGTTTGGTTAGCGACGACTGTAGTCGTCTCGGTGTTCTTTGCCGAAAAGAACATGTTCTCCGACCACCGCGGCGATGCCTTCAAGTGCTGCAGGATGTTCGTAATCGGACGAAAGCTGATCATTTTGTGGAGATGGGTTTTGAAGATTTTTGATGGGAAAACGATGAGTTTTGATAGTATTGATTGGGCTGAAGGGTTTGCAGTTGCAGGTAGATATTCATCGTTTAATGGTGGATTCCAGGCAACAGTAAGAAGATCAAGTGTAGTTGTAGTTGTGGTATCTCAGAGAAAAAGAAGAAGACAGTATATATATGTGGTTTGCATGGATACTGACAAATGTCCTCTACTCCCTGCCATATATATACAAAATTGCAATTTATTACACACATGTAATTATAATCAATCTTTTAGGTTTCTCCCTTTTTAAGAATTTAAAAATAAAAACATGCATGTAAATTATAATCAATTTTTAAACATTTTTTCTATTGAAATAAATATGTTTAAAATACTTTCTCTAATAAGGGACTTTGCATTTAAATACCAAAAAAAAGTGTTGCAAGAAGTAAAAAAATATTTAATTTCTTTTATCGTTATATGTAATGATAAAAACTGATTATATAAAAAAAATAGAATGATATATGAAAAACCAATTAACTCGATCAAGTTTGTTATATAATGAAAACATCAAAGTTGTTTAATTTGTAGACATGATATATAATATGCCTTAACAATTCAGAGATACTCACATGCTAATAAATATTTATTTGGCTATTCGTTTATATATGGATTTTTCTTGTAAAATATTAAAATATTTATAATATGAAAGTTTTGAATTATCATTGAACTATATATGAATTTGTCTGCTTGTAAAATAATTATAAAGAAAATTTTGAATTATCATTGGCCTATGTATAGATTTGTCTTGTGAAATAATTATAAAGAAAATTTTGAATTATCATAATATATAGAGAATACATTTTTTTAATCTAACAATGATGCTTTTTAACTATAATATCTTATTTATTTCAGATATTGTATTTTAGTATTACTTACTTTTATTACTTATGTCTCTATAAAAAAGATGTTTTGTTCGGTATTCTCCTTAATAAATGAAGGTTTTTTTGTTAAATGCCAATTTCTCATTAGTTTTAATATTTTTCATTTTATGGTATTTTTGAAATAAATATTATCCATTTGTTAATTTTTGATTTGTTTCAATTTTAAAAATTAAAATTATATATTATATATATATATATATATATATATATATATATATATATATTAAATTGCAATAAATATATTTTCTTTCTTTTTTATTTTAAAAGTTATATATTAAAAAATATTTTTTTATTTACACTTTAATTTAATGTTTAATTTTTTTTAATATATTCGTATAATACACGGATTTTACACGTGATTTAATATTATATTCATTTGTTAGGTTAAGAGTTTAAATCTACCGTTTACCAACAAATATTTAATACTATTACTCATTTATTTTTAAAAATCATCAATAGATGTTTATTAACTTATTTGGTCCATAAGTTTTTACTCATTTATTTTTAGTAATCATCCATAGATGTTTATTAACTTATTTGGTCC